GGTTAAATTTAGAGCGACCTATTCTATGCATAGGTGGTGCTATCCCTCTCTAGGATTTCCGTTTCCTTTCAACCCTGTCTCCTCAAGGATAAACGTCTACCTATTGCGTCTTAAACCGAAACACGTCTAACTTGTTCCAATTCTTACATTTTATTTTAATTTGAACGATTGATACACAGAAGAAAGCGTCGTGAGAAAAATTGTCTATTTCGTTGTACTTAGAAAAAGAAAAAAGAAAAAAAAAAAGAAAATAATAAAATCAATGCAAATTTATAATTTAAAAATCTCATTGTTATTTGTTTTTAATAAATGAAATTTGAAATTTCGTATATTCCGATTTGAATTTACATTTATCTTAATCTGAACGAATATAAAAAAAAAGTATTATTTAATATTAATCAAGATTATAATAAAATTTGAAATTATACTAGGTGTTGAATAATAGTTTCTAGTCCAACATAAGAACAATATTTCATCTAGGTTAATCAAACTAAATGTATTATTATATGAAAATAATTTGGAGAGAGAGAAAGAGAGAATAATAATTTGTTATAATTATTAATTTATAATTTAAACAATATTTATTAAATTACGTTTATCGCGATCTCTCGTAATAATAATATAATAATAATAATAATTATTATTATTATTAAAATAAAATATATGATTTTAAATATATGTTCGAATACTCTTGTAATGGGATAAATAATTTTCAGTTTAGTATGGATTTAAAGAAGAAGAAAAAAAAAAAAGATGTTTCATAAAAGTTTCCTCATAAACTTCGATCTAATAATCCAACACGATCTCTTACATGGCGTATATTATATCGTTTTAAATGTTTGTCGTCTCGCGTCATCTCTCTATTCTCGGAGGGATTAATTGTTCTAATTAAGAGAGATCGTAGCTCCGGAATAACTCGTCGAGTTTATATTCGTCCACGGATGCTGCTGATACGTTCTTCTCTCAACTTCTTCCTTTTTTTTTATTTTTTATCTCACATCTTTTCTTCCTTTTTATATTTATTCTTATTATTCTTTTTTTTTTCTGTCTATGTCTGTGTCTGTGGGTGGTGTCTATCATTTTCTCCCTCGTTTGAACAGGCTATTTTTACATTATTCGCTGTTGTGTCTCGACTAGCAGCAATGATCACGAGAATCCGACGTTAACATATTTCTGGCTTGAGTCATGATGATTACGATATGAGAGAAAGAGAAAGAGAGAAAGAGAGAGAGAGAGAGACCAGGAAAAAGGAACAGGAAGGACGAACGCGAAAGGTGAATGGAAAATGTACTTTTTTTTTTTTTTTTTTTATACGATCTACGATCACAATTTTTAATCTAATTTTTTATCTATTCCATTGAAAGATAAATTAAAAATAATTATCAATAAGATTAAGAACCTTCGATCGTCGGGTTTAAAAATAGAAAATTGTTTTATAATAGAATTATTTTTTACAACTATTTCTATTTTTTTTTTTTTTTTTATTGAAACCACAATTTTTGTCTTTTTATTATTTTGTCAATACTATAAATGTTTATACGTTTGATAAAATTTGAAGCGTCGCAAAAAGAACTTTCATTTTTATTCGAAATAAATGTAAATTAAAACGAATCAAACATTGTTTCTAACGTAAGTTAAGTTAACAAACTTTCTATTAATTTCACGTATACTTAAGACAAATTTGATTGTCCGATTGAATTGTAATTTAAGGACACGACTAACCTTGAACTGTTTTAAAACGTAAAATCAAAGAATCAAAATTCGTGACAAGTGAAGAAGAAAAGAAGTTGAAGTGGTGAAGATGAAAGCAGGATGAAGATGAAGATGAAGATGAAGATGAAGATGAAGATGAAAAGGAGGTCGAGGAAGAAGAAGAAGAAGAAGAAAAGAGTGGAAAGTAAACACACGTAATATTCTATCTCTTTCTATCTATTTTGCATGAGGATGCATCTTAATCGAGACACCACGCGGCGTTTCTTCTTCATCATCTTCCTTCTTCATCCTCCTACTTTTTATTCCTGAGAAAAATACTCTCGATAAATACCCGTCTCGAAAGAAGAGAGAGAGAGAGAGAGAGAGAGAGAGAGCGCAGCACACCGCGTTAAAAATGAAAAAGGAATGCGACGCGGGTTCATAATTAAAGAGCGCACTTTGATTACCATGATCGAGATTATCTATCAAACGAATTATTTTTATGACTTTTTATTTCTATTTTTATTAGTTTTATTCTTAGCGATTGTGCGAAACGAGAAATAGAATAAATTAAGATTAATCCATCCGATTTTTGAAAACACGACGACGAAGGAAATGATTTTTAAATTGTTAAATTATTATTATTATATTTTTAAACGTTATATTTTTATGATAATATTGTATCAATACAAAAAAAAAAAAAAAAGATAGAAATATACCAATATCTAATAAACAAAGATATAAATAATAGTTTCTATAAAAAAAAA